CAAGCTTCAAATAGCATCAACTTAATATTGCGGAAAAGAGCCTGGTAGAGAAATACTTAAGGTTTGGATGAAGAGATCTTTTATTCGTCCCACAGTGGGGAAATTTCAGTGTTGCAACCCCCGTTATAGAACAGTAGGAATGAGGAGCACACAGCACAAGATAAATGAACAATAACGCTAAAATATGAATAACAAAAATATCTAAATTTAGCATAATAAAGAAGTAAGTATACAATCTCTATCTTTAGCATAATAAAGAAGCTAGCATTAAATCTCTAGCTTTAGCATAATAAAGAAGCTAGCAATAAATCTCTAGCTTTAGCATAATAAAGAAGCAGAAGAAAGAAGAAGAAATGCATAGTTGTCAAAAAATAATAAAGTATGAGGTAATAATTGCTTGAATAAAGTGGTTTTTATCCTATTTTGTGTACATTCTGACTGTCTTAAAACAAGATTTGCCAACGGGACAAAAGCCATTTAGTCTTATTTTGAAACTGTTACTTTATTTTCTCATTTTTAGGGAGATTTTTCTTGTATATATTTTTAAAACAAGATCATCTCACTTGTCCCGTTAGCAAATCTTGTTTTAAGGCAGTCAAATTTTGCTCAGTTTAAGATACATTTATGCATTTTTAGACATTTTGCATTATATACATCTGTACATGTTAGCAGCATGAGACGAAGTGACTGAGTAAAGTGACAGTGACACATGTGGTTTCATGTAAGAGAGAATATTCACCCAGACTCAGACTCAGACACTCTCACCATCGTGTCTTGTCAATCCTGGGAGGTCTAAACAAAACGCAGATTGCAGATTTATTGCTTCCTGCACAAAGGAACACAATGCTTCCAGTTTTGAACGACTAAAAGTTGTCGTAGCCAAAACCACAAGGCAACAATGCATCCAGACCATAGCCCAGTAATTTAGGGACAAGTCAATACCAGCAGGACACAGGACCAAACATGGGAACAGAGCCACTACTGAAATAAGTCGGAGCTCACACCATGGACGCCACAGAGGGCCCTGCATATAGCTGCCTCTTGTGTGAAAGTGGGTTGGATATCTCTATTTTAAAAGATAGACATGACTGACATTACTCACTGTATTTAAAGATAGACATTTTCGATATAGTCACAATAAACATGTCATGCATACAGAGGCCGTAATTCACTGGGCTGGTTTCTCCTGTTGTGTAAGATTCTCATGTGTATTATGGCCATTTATTGAACTATTAGAAAAATATCAATAACAATAATAATGCACCAGTTTTAAACAGTCCAACACTCAAGGACGCTTCATGTGTCATTATGCATTCACTTCAAAACAACCCATACTACTACTGTAGCCACAGCTGCCCCGGGGCACACTAACAGAAGTGAGGAATCCAGTATGTGCCATCAGCCCCTCCGATCAACCACCACCGGACTTGTTTTCGTCAATGTGGGTGAAGTGTTTTGGCCAAAAGACACAACAGAGGTTTGGTGCTTTACAGCCACAGCCGCCCCACTCTGGCATCTAGTGTTCCCAGAGGTCTCCCATCCCAGTATTTACCAGGTCTTGCCATATTTAACTTCAGATGTCTGGTGGGATTGGGCTTTCACATGCAAGTATAGCCATTCATGCAAGTACAGCCATTTTGTATAAAGATGGATTTAGATATCACACTAATCAACCATTCATTAGATCAGGACTGCTAACATTTTAAAAACAGAGCAATAAGATTTATTTTTATTGCTGATAAAACAGATTCTTATGTGATTATTTCCCTTGTTTGTTAAAAGCCTTCTAGGGGCAGACATTGCACATTAGCCACGGCTGTAAATGTAGTAGTGTGTCACATGTGTCCTGAGGCAAGAAAAGACCCGGGCCTGTTGCTGGTGTGGAGTTTAGCATGTTCCTCCCTGTGTCTAGGTGGGTTTCCTCCGGGCGCTCCACTTTTCCTCAGCGCACACTCAAATGCACCACAGGTCAAAGCTGAAAGGCTCCAGCTGAAGTTTTGACCAAGATCTGTCCCCCAAGCCTGTGCCATTACTGTCTGGAACTGACTCCCACTGCCCATTAGAAACTCTGACTCACAACCAAAATTACCCAAAACCCATCTGATCAAACAAGCTTTTCCGTAAACCCCCTTTTTTTATTTTATGTGAAGCGTCTTTGTGTGTCCAAACAAGCGCTTTATACAAGTTTGATCTGATATTATTATTATGATTATCAGTGTCTGAGATAAGTCCTCATTGGCTCATTGAGGGGTTAAATGCAGAGGACACATTTCCCCAAGAGACAAGAGAGTTTACCTCAGCCCTAACTTAACCCAGATGGCCTTGTGTAAGTAAGTCATCTTTATTTGTGTAACGCATTTTTACAGACCAAAGTCACCCAAAGCGATTTTCAATGTTCAGAGTTCAGATATTGTTGAAATATTGAGCCTGTGAATCAGTTGTGTGAAAGAATTTAGAGGTGGTCAGAGGAACATGATCAAATGCAAGACTTTTTAGATACATAGACACTGTAGATATTTATTTTTATTGATATGTGTAAGATGAATTCAGTACATACATCATAACTATTAAGTAACTAGCAACCAATAGTTCAAATCAGACATATATTTGTTGTTCGAATAGAACAGGTTTTTTATTTTATTTTTGTATGGTGTTATTGTTCATTTATCTTGTGCTGTGTGCTCCTCATTCCTACTGTCCCGCAATTTTCCCCGCCATGGGACCAATAAAGAATCTCTCAAACTTAATTATTTAAAAAACCTTTAGGAAAATTCTGCAGTATCGTAGGTAAACAAACATGATAAGAATGTTATTAATGCATTCATACAATAACGCATACTTAATTTACAAACACTACTTCTGCTGTTTTGTTGCAGCCTTTTTGTAGTGTCAGTCAGTCTGGCCAGGGCAGCTGTGGCTACAGGTACAATTGCCACCACCATAATGTGAATGAATAATGAACTGTAATGTGATCTAGTTGTCATACTGCTCTATGTAGAGGCCAGATTTACTTTTTAATTATGCTTAGGTCAGATATTTTAGACTTGCCTCCTTTTCATAATGTTAGAGATTGTATACCTACTTCTTTATTATGCTAAAGTTGGAGATTTTAGACTTGCATCCTTATTTCTTGTTTATTTTGTGCTGTGTGCTCCTCGTTCCCACTGTGCTGTAACTAATGATGCAACACTGAAATTTCCCCACCGTGGGACGAATTAACAATCTCTTCCTCTTAATGTTTTTTGACCTCTCCCATGCATTCTGTAAACCCATTCACTTCTGTATGTATTTGTTTTCTGACTGTTTGCTTAGAAATGTCCCAACTATTCCAAATGTCCCCACTATTCCCAATGTCCCCACTATTCCAAATGTTCCCACTATTCCAAATGTCCCCACTATTCCCAATGTCCCCACTATTCCAAATGTCCCCACTATTCCAAATGTCCCCACTATTGCCAATGTCCCCACTATTCCAAATGTCCCCACTATTCCCAATGTCCCCACTATTCCAAATGTCCCCATCATTCCCAATGTCCCCACTATTCCAAATGTCCCCACTATTCCCAATGAATAAAGGTTTCTCTTATAGTGTCGTATCAAAACAAACCACACAAATGAGTACGAGACATATATTAAATTTAATCTATTATTGAAATGTCAAAGCAGCTCCAACAGAACTGAAACCGCTCGCAATCGTCCAAAGGTATAAGTTACAACACACACAGGCACATCTTTGGCACCAAACAAACACACACATAATTACAGGACATACATAAAAATAATAATAACAGTAATAATAATAATAGTAAATAGATGAAAACAATATATTAACATCTGTATCACTTCAAATAGCCATTCATATTGTAAACACATTCCAAGTCACTGTGCATCGACCAGCAACACACACACACACACACACGTCAAATCCAGCTTACACGGCAAAAAGCAATGAAAAATAAGTTAAAAATGGCTTGAATTTGGCGAAATGCATCTTAATTTCAGCACATTTTGACTGGATTCAAACAAGATTTGCCGATGGGACAAAGCAAAATGATCTTGTTTTAAAAAGATACAAAAAACGCTTGGAATGAGAAACAAAGCCAACAATTCTTGAAATAACAATACATGGCTTTGTCCCATTGGGAAATCTTGTTTTAAGACAGTCAGAATGAACTCAAATTATGATAAAAACCACTCAATTCAAGCAATTATCACCCCATATTCTATCATTTCTTGCAGCGTATTTAAAACCGTTTCAGAAATATGTTTGAAATTATTGTCCAGTTTCAAATTCCCAAAGCTGAACAGAAGTCGGGTTTACAATCAACAGCCTCTCACATTTAGGCGAGGCTACTTCCTGGTTAAGTCCTTGGAAATACTTAATAAAGTCCAGTTGAAGTTCATTTACATTTCGGGTTGAGGGTGAGGCTTCCCAAGACGGAATCCATGTCGAGAATGTAGGATATTTTAACAAGAGAGCAAGGGTCTGACCTTTTCTTTAACGGGAGCATTCCCTCATTTAGGAATGTGTGAAGATTAGGATATGGAAAATTAGACCCCTGTGCAATGTTGTCAATCTGCACTGGGCTATTTTTTAAAGGAGAAAGTCCCAAAGTCTTTAGGTAGGGCATTCAACGTGTCTTTTTAAATAGGAGGGACAACTGTTAAATTAAGATAAATAGGGGATGCTAAATTTACAAGGTGCCACTAGAAAACCAAACATAGAAACCTGGCTCTATGCACATACTTGAACATCACATTACATAAGAGCAGCTTTAACAAATATAAATAAAACAAGTATAAAATAACATAGATTGACAGTACATCAGCCGTGTCCTTGTACCACTCAGGACTGGAGGAGTAGAAAATTGTGCAGAATTTGTGGAAAGGGAAGTCCAGCTGTCCCCACGTTGGAAAGTCAGTCTTTGCTTATCGATGGCGTTATGGGAACGCCGTTGTTACTGGAGGGAGGAGTTCTGTTCTGTCTTTTGTGTTTTTTTTTAGATAAGAATTTCAACCATTTCCGACTCTCTCGTCTTGGCTCTCGGCTCCTCTGCAGAAGCACCTGTAAACATAAACAGGGCAAGATTATAGACATTGTTTTAATAATAATATTCAAGGTAAATGTCAACTGGATTCTAATACCCAAAACCCCACTTCCAAATGTTAAAAGAGTTACTGGAAATTAATGGAACAAAAGACCATTTTATCAGATTCAGATTCATTTATTTGCCATTTGCAGTAAAACCACATAGGAAAAACTGTGCAAGACTACCCCAGTGTGCACCAGACGACACACACCAGAGCTCTTGCCAGCTCTAATCACTGTATTAGTCAGCACCTAAAACAAAGAGTCATAGTCTATGTTGTCTATGACTCGTGGATGTGATTTTATTCAACAATCTCCCTTGTACTTGTTTAGATAAATAACACATTTCCCCCAGTTTTTGGAAAGAAAATATGGGTGTGATAGTTATTGAGCAAAGAAACCATCTCTCAGGGCAACGGGAAGTTTGATCAACAAGAGTTTTAAATGCAAAGGAAAAACGTAATGCCCCCATTGGAGCCACACGCTTCCAAAACCAATCCAAATCCTAAACTTTTTGAGGCATTTAAAGCGTGGTTACCTAACTTTAATGTATCTTGTGCGATAAATAATGTTAGTCCCATTGAAAAGATTCTTTGTAAAAGTAACATTTTGTAAACAAATCACACCACAATGTTCTGTTGTCCTATTATTAGTACGTATTTTGCTTGTAAGGAAGAGCCCTGTGAGTCACTATTTGACACTTTGGGCTGAGCGCTGATTGGCTGAGTAAGGATGGTTCAATCTTTCTCACTATTGTGACAGAGGACAAATATACATGCATGTGAAAAATGGTGCTAGAACCAAACTGTTTTAAGAGCTAGGAATTATTCTTTAAACATACACACTGTAGGCAAAATGTATGTTGATTTGAACATATTTTTACTGCCTTAAAAGAAGACTTGCCAATGGGATAGGCACTAATATCTTGACTTAAAAAGATGCAAGAAATGTTTCCCTTGGAATGAGAAATGTACTCAAATTTTGATAAAAACCACTCGATCCAAGCCATAATGGCTCATATTTCATGATTTTTTTCTAGTTTTTGTGGTTTTAAAGTTATGCACCCCAAAATTGACAAAATCCCGCCGCGCCTTGATTTACGGGCGCAGTATTCACACGACTTGTCAGTAGCTTGTGTGGAGGTGACAAAGGTTGAACATGCCACCCACCAAACGCGTCTGCTGCTTGGGATTCCTCTGGCGTGTCGGCTTCTGTCTCCGGCTGGGCCTCGCTCTGGGTGCCCCTGTCCCGTCTGAGAACCGCGCTCCTGGGTGTCGACAACAGACCCCCGCCTACCGCACCTGTCTGGTCATCCGATAGGCTTTTCATCACTGCAAAACACACACACACGCATAAGACAAAGGCCAATTTAATTATGCGTCCATTTTTACAACATCTGCCTGCAGGGTTGGTTCCTTCCCATGGTTTATTCTGGAGAGGCTATTCCTGAACGGGAGATGATATGCATTCCGGTTCAAAACGTCTATTTGCGTTAGGGGCTTGTTGGAGATTTTTTTTTAGATGTGTACATTTCAGGCTGGCGTCTCCAAGCCGTCTGCCAGTTGTCGGTTGATAAATTTATGATTGTAAAAATATCCAAAATTCCCCATTAGAGCAAGAAATATAGACCTTCATAGAGGGCTGGTCAAGCACACTGCAAAAAAATGATGAAGTATGAAGGAATAATTGCTTGTTTTTATCTTCATTTTAGCACAGTCTGACTGTTTTAAAACAAGATTTACCAATTTGGACAAAGCCATTTCTTCTTAATTCTAGAAATTTAGTTTTATTTTCTTATTTCACGGGAGACAATTCTTGTATCTTTTTAAAACAAGTAAATTTTGCTTTGTCCCATTGGCAAATCTTGTTTTAAAATAGTCCGAATGTGCTCAATTAAGACAAAAACCACTCAATTCAAGCAATTATTACCTCATATTTTAGTATTTTTTTGCAGTGTGGAATCCAGTATGTACTGTTTTGTTCTACCAAATTTGAGACTAGGAAGAGCAATTTCTCACTCAGAAAAAGAAAGAATATAGTACTTTCTCAGATATAACTGTTTGCTCCCATAGAAAATATTTCTTTAACTCTTTAGGTGCAGACTTTTGACAGATATATCTTATGAGAAATATGTAAAAAAAAAAAACATAAACAAAGTGCAGAAAGCTATTTAAGAAAAATAAAAGGAAAAATGTGGAAAGCCAGGAAGAATTGTAGCGGAGTCATAGTAGCATCTGTGGCCAAAGGGTTAACACAGTCAAAATGAACTTAAAAACTTAAAGGTTTTTTGCCAAATTCAAGCAAATAAGAACTTTTATTTGTCATTTCTTGCAAAGTGCGTCTACCCAGCCCTCCAAAAACAACCAATACTGCAATCACTCATGCTACACTGACCTTTGAGCTCGCTGCTAACGAACACGGTGTTGATGGACGGGACGGAGCGAGCCAATCGGAGGCCCTGGTTCTCCAGTCGCCCCTGTTTCTCGAGTCGCCCCTGCTCCAGTCTGGATCTCTGGTGCAGGATTTTGATAACAGCGTCTTTCTCCAAGAGCTGAGCGTGAAGAGCCCGGATTCTGAGCAAAAGACACAAGAGTTTAGTTTAAAAACTGATGTAATAATTCTGTTTATTTTCAGTAAGATCACGTTGGAATATCTGGTCGTTCAAGTTCTGTGTATACAATTATATAGAGTTTAGACGTGTTCATCACTTCAAACACTTTGTTCCAACTTCACCGCAGTCCCAATGGAATAAATTATGTCTTACACGACCAAAAGTGTCAAAGAATTAATCAAAAATGCCTTGAATTAGGGCAAAATATGAATTTAAAATCTTAATATCGAGCACATCTCAGCTCCTGTGGACTCACCACCTGCAGGAGGATCAGTGAGGGGCAGGTGCTAAGACCCAGAAATGGATTAAGGGGAAGAAAATGGATGGATGGATGGATGGAATTTTGAGCACATTTTTTGTCTTAATCCTAGAGTGAGATTAGGATTAACTGTATTTAAAATTCAATTGGATTCAATACAATTTATTTTTGTACAGCCCTAAATCACAACTGGAGTTATCTCGGAGGACTTTACAAAGCTGTCGATTCGCTCAAACACAGGAAATGTAACGATATAAAAAATAAAAAATAAAAAAAATCACTTAGAGCCATTGGTCCAAAAAAGGGAAGACCAATGTCCATGAATGTCGTTAAATGTCCCGGATCATCAAAAAAGACTTGAAATAAAACAAAACAGCTTGACCCATCGGCAACTTAAGACTATACAACACTAAATCATTAATGAACTTATATTGTATCTATGTGTGCTGCGATAATGTGAAATATCTTAATACCTATTTTCCATTTCTTGGTGCCTGTGACTGGCCATCGGCAAGTCCTCGTTGAAGCTGCTGTTGGGGGATGTTCGAGGGGAATGCTTGATGATCGTTGTATCCCTAAAAAACACAATAGAATGAGTCACTTTGTACTTTATTTGCTTTAAACGTTATGCTGCTCTGCCTTCTCTGCCGCTGTCTTACCTCTGAGCGGCCGCGGTAGCAGCAGCGTCCATAGCAAACTGCCTCATGGTGCTTTCCTCCAAATATTTCTGCTCCCATTTGGTGATGTCGGCTTCCAGGGCCAGGACCCGCTCCTCCTTCTCCCGCAGGTGCTGTTCCAATGAGGACGCACTGAGCTCTGAGGCTGTGGCGGTGCTCATCTGCTTCTGGAAACAAAACAAATAATAAGTCATCAAAGTTGTGTGTGTGAGTTGCAAAAGATGGAAAAGTGTTTTTACTATTACTGCTGCTACTATTGAAATACTGTAGATGGAATGCATTTCTCTGGGCTTTTCTTGTATCTATGCATTTTACCTTCAATATTGTGCTCAAATAAAATTATTTATGAGCCAACATCGACCACATTCTACATTCTATTCTAATTCTTTCCTAATATATACAGTATGTAAGAGAAGCAAACGTGGCTGCATGTGTTTTATACCGTATCATTGGTGGGTTTCAGTCCCCACACTGCTTCAGACTCATTCTTTTAATCATTTGTATATCTTTTCCTATGGGGTAATACAAATACTCTGTATGATCATTATATGGAACAAGGTCCACCACCCCAGAGGAGCATCCAATTTTGTCCAATTTTTTTCAGTTTTGGGACAACTTTGAGCTCCTTCCAGACATGGTTTGACAATCATTTAGACCTGGAGTGGTCCTATTTAGAGTGATTGATTTGGTCGTATATGCGCAAGGTCAAATATTGAGACCAGGGGTGTCAAACTGGTTCCAGAAAGGGCCAGTGAAGGAGCAGGTTTCAATATCCTTTCCTCATATCTTCAGGTTAAGACTGGATTCACTTGAGGAAATGGGAGGAGTGTGGTGTGTTCCTGCTTGGTCAGAATCATAACCTGCAACCTCCCTGCCCATTTGAGGACCCTGTTTAACACCCACGATTTAGATCTTCTTGGGTGGTGCATAGTGAGAAATGTTTAAGCCTCACTAAAGCTGGACACGTTTCACTCCTGTCCAGTTTGAAAGCCTGAGAACCTGTGTCTCTCCAAACCCCTGAGTCTCACCTGTTGCGCTCGGAGGCTCTTCAGCTCTTGCTCGAGTCGCGTTCGCAGCCTCAGTTCCAGCGCCTCTCTCTTCTCGCAGGCCGCCTGGAGCTGGGCCAGCGAGCTCTGGAGGCCCTCGAGCTTCCGTCCGTAAAGCCTCTTCCTCAGCAGCTCCTCCTCCAGAGCGCGACACCGGGACTGGGCCGAAGACAGGGCCTGCTCCAGGACGTCCCGCCTCCTCTGGGACTCCTCTGCAGACACGCGCAGAGACAACACCTGCTTCTCCAGACGCTCCTTCTCCCTCTGCTGCTCCTCATCTGGATCGAAGAAGAAAGTTGTTAGTGGAATGGTGGAATAAATGGTGTCACATCAAAATGCCAAACATACAATAAGTTACACAACAACAAAATGATAAAAATATGAGGTAACAATTGCTTGTATCGAGTGTTTTTATACTTTACTGCCATTTAGCCTTATTTCAAGAATTGCGCTTAAATTAAGATACATTTTGTCAAATTTGACAAATGTATGACTTATTTTTCATCACTTTGTGCAGTGTAATGGCTGTGTCTATAATCATAAGAAAATACATAATTGGTGTGGTGGCACTCAAAAAGATACAACTTGACGCTTCTTTGTCTCATACATGAAAAAGTACAAGAAGCTTTTGCTGAATTTGGATGCAGCCAATACTGTATATATACTGTAAAGGCTTTTAAGTATTGTTTAGATCAGGGGTGTCCAAACTATTTATCACAGACGGCTACTTTTTCGAGACAAAATTTTCATAGCAAAGAAATTTGCACTTCAAATCAATTTATTCTTGCATTCCCCTAAATAACAAACACCAAACACATTGGTCCATAAGGGGCGGATGACCAATGTCCACACACATATCTAACATGAAAACTCACAAGAAATTTGGCCTGAAATTATGTCTCTGTCACCAAACAAAGTCCACGCCAAGGGATCGATGCACCTGCCACTATGTCAACACAAACCCGCTTTCTTCTTTGCTTAAACTAAGGGACATTAAACCCATTTGAACTGCTGTGCCAGTTTGAAATGAGGCTGATTACACAACAGCAGTGCATGCCTGTGTGAGGAATGCAGACTTCCTCTTATCCACTTACGCACATAGGCATAGCTTTGTGCTGCGAACTGCCCAGGAATGCCCCAAGTAAACAAGCCGCTCAAAATGTAATTCACCTCAAGTCTGTTTTGGAAGAAATTATTTAAAGATTACCTGAAATTATTGAGACAAAGTGTAGACTGAGAGCGTACCAGGAGGACAGGACATAACAGCCCCAATGAAGGAGGAACAGAAATGGCTATAATTATCATCCCAATAGGAGTTTTGTTTGAGTAATATTTTGTGAACAAATTTGATCCCCACATGCTGTATTTATCTCATTAGATAGATAGATACATACTTAATTTGAGTACATTCTGACTGTTTATTTTCGCATTCAAAGTGAGACATTTCTTGTATATTTCTAAAAAAAAAGGTCATTTTGTTTGTTCCATTGGCAATTCTTGTTTTAAGGCAGTTACAATTTGCTCAAATTCAGATACATTTAGTCAAATGTTTGCATTTTTTACTTATTTTTCATCACTTTTTGCAGTGTATTGGTTGGCCTCTGTCACATCTTTTTCAGACAAAAAAGTGATAAGTACCAGTTCTCACTCAGCCAATCAGGTCTCAGCCAAAAGCAACAAATAGCATGCAAACCTGATCAGCTCTCATTATGATTCAAGCAATAACTACCTCATATTTTATCATTTTTTGCAGTGTACATGCGTGAAATTGAACCAAACTGTTTTGCGAGCGAGGAACTAGTCGCATAGATCGTATTACATTGTTTTTATTTTTGTGGCTTCAATGTTGGATCTAGTTTAGCCATCTTCTCTGCCAGATAAAATGTTCAATGTTTTTCTGTACAAATGTGAATGTAATGAGAACATAGCCTATACACAGTTTCCCACAGTGCTAATTCAACCGACAAACAACTTTACGCAATTATACAACTGGGAATAGTTCTTTACAAATTGTCCTATTGTGCAAATGAGTTCATATCCACCTCAGGCAAAAATTCCTCCATGTTTTAAATGTTCTGATTCGAGTGTGAAGAGGACTAAAGGCTTGGAAATATCCCCGGAGCACTGGCACATATTAACCCATTAGTCAAAGTGCTGCCTAAACAAGGACAGAGGCCAGAGCAGGGGTCACGCTGTGCCGGTGTCCCAGACAAATTAGTTCCCCCTTAAAGAAAGAAGTCAGCAGTGATCATGCAAATCTGAGTGGCGAGGAGGGGAGGGGGGGTGTCGCTAATGCTAGAACAGCCTGAAATACTCGCAAAAATGCCAGGAATCCAGGCCAGATTTGTTTTTGCGATGGAAAAGTGTGGAGCCAGATACAGAAATGTTTGTGTTTGCAGTTTTGTAACAGACTTAAACCGGAAAACCAATGAATGAAAGTGATGTTGAGCTAAATAACTGATTAGCCTGATATGCAGCAAAACATGATAAAATATGAGGGGATAATTGAACAAGATTTGCCAATGGGACAAAGCCATTTAGTCTAGTACTATTGCTCTATTTTCTCATTCCAAGGGAGACACCTTTTGTATCTTTTTAAAACAAGATCATTTTGCTTTGTCCCATTGGCAAATCTTGTTTTAAGGCAGTCAAAATGTGCTCAAGTTAAGCCAAATTTGAGCAATTTTGACTTTTTTTTTCATCATATTTTGCAGTGTATAATGAACGTATTCAGACGGCTAAACTTACTTTGCTCGAGAAGTTTGACAAAAACGTGGTGCTTGGGGTCTGAGCTCTCTGCCTCCTTGGATGCCCTCTGTTTGGTTGCAGACTCTAGTTGTTCTGTGGAAATAAAACAATCATAGTCATATTAGTTTAAGGTACATATATCAAAGTATATTTTCTGATCTATGGAACGGTCATGCCACATGCTAATCATTTCCTCATGATTTTCAAACACGGAAATGTAAAGGAATAGAAAGATTTATACCTCTCAAGTCCCTGTTGAAGTCATGCAGCCTCTTGATCTCCGCCTCCAGTTTGTTCCTCATGGTTTTCTCCAGACTCTCCCTCTTGACCGAGCCTTTCATCAGAGTGTCGTAGGCCTCGGATATTCTCTGGATCTCCCCCTCCAACTGTGAAACATGAAAGGACAGGAGTTAGCGCAACAGTGATTATGTAAACTTTGGTTTTACCACATGTATGTTGATTTTAATTAGTATTATTGTCCTTTAGCGATCCTATATTATCCTGCTGTAGCATGTCTGAACTGTATCTGATTATTGTGTACAGAAATTATGTATGTTTTCTGAATGTAGAGTTATTGTAGGAGTGTGGGGTCTGAGAGCGCAAATATGTCTTGTATGTGTCGCAAATGAAATCTGTCTGTGTTGTATTATAAGTATTGGGTCTGTTTTATGTTCATGGAAGCCTCAAGGGCCTTTCCAAAATAAAATCAAAATTCAAACAATGAATTCCATAAGACTCTGAACTATCACTGTGTTTTACATCCTGGAGGCAGATGTCTTCTTCAGTAACTTAAACAAGGAAGTTACATTCCTCAATGAACACTTGTGAGCCCCTGGTGTCACAGCACAGAGACAAGACGAAGACAGAAGAAGAATGTGCCCCGGCTTCAGCAGAGGTCTCGAGTCACAGAACATTGTGTGTGTGTGTGTTTCACTTCCTCACACAAACCTGCTCTGGCAGCATATTTCTAAAAGCTTGTGGTGATATTTTGAACATGTGTGAACAGGAAGCACTCTGCAGTCCCATCCGTGTGAGCTCACCTTCTGCAGTCGGGATGCCTTCTCCGTTACCACCTCCAGCTCCCTCGTCAGGCGCTCGTTTTCCCTCAGGAGAGCTTCATTCTGGGGGGAGGGCGGTGGAGGCTGGGCTGGAACATACCTGCAACACATGAGGGTGTTCAGAACGCTGTACCCGTGATACGACGTCGAGGAGATGAAGCTGAATGTGTAGATGCTGCTCAAGTTTATGGAGTTCGAGAAAGGGAATGGTCAGCTCTCTGTGTGTGTTTGCGGTTGTATTGTGTTCACATGTTTGTAGGGGCTAAACTAATGTTACTGTTTGACTGTCCTGTGTATAAATAAAGTTATCTGAATCTGACGAAGCGGAATGTGTATATGAAGTTGAAAGCGTACCTGTGCTGGGAGTAAAATGGAGGTGGTTCTCTGTAGTACTGTCCCTGTGGTTCCTGCGAGTGGCTGAGCATGTATCCGGGCAGTTTGGTGGGACAGGGGTACTGCGGAGGGGGGGCTCTCTGCTCCACACTCTGGGGCTGTGTGTTGGAGCTGAAGAGCTGGGGGTAACTGTGAGAGGAGGGCATGAGCGGCTGGGTGGAGCTCCTCTCCAGACTGAGCTGCATGAGGCGCTCGCTGAGGGACCGGACGTGCTCCCTCTTCACGCCCCACTGCTCCTCAGGACACAGATCTAGAGTCTTTTGCGAGATGAGAAGCCGAGCCTGCTCATACGTGGGCAGCTCCTCTGTGTGCAGGTGGTACAGGGGGCTCTCGGACAGGCCCTCTCCCTGGTACTCCTCCCCCTGTGGCTCCTGCCTGGTGTTCATGTAGATGTATGGGCTGTCTTCCTGGGACAGACTCTCCAGAGAAGACCTGGGGCTCCCTGTGCCTCCCCCGCTGCTGCTGCTGCCCCCGCGTAGGGCCTGCTGCTGGATGGCCAGGAGGGTGCGGGTGTCGCTCATGTTGGCATAACGTAGCTGCTCCTGGATCAGCCGGTGCAGGACTGTCCCGGACGAGTCTTCTGCTGTTCTCATATCAATGATGTTTGCGAAGTGCTTCAACTGGAACTGGGTCTGGTCAGTTCTGAAACTACACAAGAAGACAACATAAGTACCTGGCTCACAGACTATATTCAATTCAATGTATTCTTGTATAGCCCTGAATCACAATAATAGTTATCTCGGACTTTACAAAACTGATGAATTCGCCAACACAGATCAGAGAATCAACAAGAAATGTAATGATACAAAAACACATAGAGCCATTGAGGGGCAGATGATAAATGTCCATACATTTTGTTGAATGTCAAGTGGTCTAGTTATTATCTTCTAACTTTAATTATGTAACCCTTTAATGGTCTCCTCAACCATTTGGTGGGTCAGTTTTACAGTCTACTTGAAGCTTTGAACTGAAATCTCTATCAGTTTTAGGCACTTTTACCACCAAACTGCATCTCAACCATTTGGTAAAGACCTATCATTAAAAAAACTATGGGGTTACAAAAAATAAAAACAAATAAATGATGTTATTAATGCTGCTACATCTTAGAAAATAATAAAAATGCATGATTACAGTGAGCATTAAAGGGTTAACGAACAGCAGCTTGGCAACCATTATTTAGTGTTCATTCATGACTTTACTCAGTATTGTTGTGTGATTTCTCCAGTTTAGCACAACACCAGCAGCAGCAGCAGCAGCAGCTAAACACCTTATTTTAAACATGGTTGGCATGTTGTGTGAATTGCAAGAGTTGTTTCTGGAAATACCCCTGTCAGTGATGTCAACCCAGATCCTGTTTTATAGGCTCATGCTCGCACTCAGACGCATGACTTTGTCCAGAGACACACAACTAATGCAAAACACTCACAAGATCACAATCTCACCACGTTACAGCAGTATACAACACAACACCCCAGCAGCCAATACAGGAATGAATAGACTACTGCTACTTCTGACTAGTATCAAACTTGAGAAACCGATGACGATAACATTGAAACAGCCGCAAAATCTTAACATCTTCACACCAAAACAAGCGCCACAATCCACCGCAATGCTCATCCAATTCTACTTAAGATTGAGAGATCTTTTATTTTTCCCAGAGGGGTTATTACAATGTTACATTCCAATTTACAGAACATTATTAAAGAGGAGCACACAACACAAGATCCATTAACCTATTTTTGGAAAGTCCACCTTTTCCTCTAGACCTCCCTCTGACCTAAAACTACAAACTGACTTAAACATATTTACCAGGAGACTTAAAATGTGGCTGAAATAGGAGAAAAGTTGTTCACATGTTTAAGGAATTGTATACTTGTAAATTAAAAATAGATGTGTGTGTATGTTTCTAAAAGCCTAAAAGAATGGTTAGGTCTTGCTACAAAAACTAAAGGCAGTGCATTTGGTCTGTCCATATCAAATAAATAATAACAATAGCAGAAGATACAATAAAATCTAAATTTTTAGCTGTATAAAACAGTATATACACATACATAATATACCCATATCCTACATACATCAGATTTGATTTAGATTCAGTGTTTTTGCCATTCGCAGTATAAACCACGTTGAAATACATGTTCAAAAGTCTTCCAGCGTGCACCCGACAAATTCATGAGAGTGTGTGAAATTGTTACCTGTTTATCTGGTAGAAACATTCCCCAAAAAAACCCTTGTATAAATCTTTCACAAAATAGTATCCTTTTCAGTGCAGGTAAATCCACACAAAGGGCGCTCGCTTCTCTCTCTTCTCCCGCTTTATTTCCATGTAGCAGTGAGCGTGCCGTGCGTCCGGAGCAGACTGAGCAGCTCCCAGTCTCAGCGCTAATAAATAACTGAGAGGCGATTGTTCCGCTGCGCCTGGAATGAGAGGAATGTGCGCGCTCTGAGTCCCCGTGGGATCAAAAGCAGCGTGCGTAAAAGAGGAGAGAGATAGAGAGAGAGAGAGAGGGAGGGAGAGGGGGGAGGAGGAGGAGCTCTACTACAGGGGGTGGTCACGGACTCCAAAAAACACAACACCAAAAAAAATGGATGAAGAGCAGTGTGCAGTATGTCACCTTTAAACCAGTGTCATGTAAAAGAAGCGCTTTGTCCCCGTGCGTAAAAGGAGATTTAAGGCCAAACACTTTTAAATGTAGCGCAGGAATGTTATTGTTGTTATTGAGGAAAAGCAGCAGAGGAGCGCGAAAGCATCACGGCAAAGTCAAAGCATGAGGGGGGAGTGAATAGTCAAATACTGTCCCAGAGCAGTCAATTTGACGGATTTTAGTTTTTTGGGGAGTGTGATTGCTCATGTACATTCTTGGTCTTCGTGACTTTTTTCTGTTTCTATGTGTAGTTTATTTTTTCTTCATAATTTTTTTTTTTTTTAGGAAATTATTGTGAGTGGTTCTGCCTTTCTGTCATTACACCAGGGAATAGTGCTAGTTACCATAGCAACACACCGTTTACTGGCAGAATTTTAGCAGTTATTAAAAGTGAGTAAAGGTTAAAAAAGAAAACTGTATAAATGATTTTTTTTTATAAATCTGGTGAAAAATTAAACATTCTTTGGAGGAATTTCTCAGAATTCCATTATTTTGAAAGGGAGTATTAACAATGACGGCTCTGGGAGTTCTTATAGTTTCAAAATTCTGGGAGTCCCCTGGTATTGTGCGATCAATAAAGTTTATCTTATCTTATCTTATCTTATCAAAAGACACACTCTGACCGTGGACTTTCATCATATTCAGATTCAGTTTATTTGCCATTTGCAGTAAAACCACATTAGAATAATTATACAAGACAACCCCAGTATGCACCAGACTGAGTAGATAGTACACACCGCAACTTTTGGTCTTGGACTGAATATGTCTTTTCTACTGTATGTGTTTTGATCATTCATGTCATATTCTAATTAACTAACTAAGCTATTATTACCCAACCCTGCTTAAACTAACAAACAATGTGTTGAAAAATGTCAGAAATGAAAAAGAGTTGAATCCAGTCAGGACAAGTTATCGCGCATACCATTTATCAAAGAAAATTCCTAGGTTGTGGCTGTTCATCGTTCATATTGACCGGGGTAAAAGTAGCTGTTATGATTCAGAATTAAGTACAGTTGAGAAAGAATACAGTTTTGTCAGGGTTCCAGGGAAATGCAGTTCCAGGGAAATGCAGGACGTAGACAGAACAGCAGCTAAAGTGTGTCCGGAATTGTTGCGAAAGCCGTGTTGCACATTCTTCATTACATTTCCTCTGTGATTTTTCCATTGAAGAAATCTTGAATAAATGTAAATGTTCTGTAATTCAACTTGCAATGTGAAACTATAATCTGACTCATTATTGCAAAGTATGTGTGGTCTTTAATTGTTAGATAGTGTTGATATTTGGCTCACAGCTGTAAAAATCCCAACTCAGAATTATTGTAATTGCCATTATAAGTGTGGAAAATTAACCACACAGAGACGGGATCGTGGCACACCAGAGATACTGGAAGTTTATTCAGTTTCCTTCAGGTTTCAGTTTTTTCAGACAGAACAAAGTCAGTACATGGTTTATATAGTCATTGTTACGTCAGAGATTCGTCACACACAGAAAGACATACGTGTCGCATCAAGAGACAATCAGAACATACTAGAATCATAACATGGATACACAATCGGACCTTGTGACTGTGAGGGCCAGATATCTTGTCTTGCGTTTGTCCACCTGCGTAGGCCATAGCGATCTATCCACCATAATAAGCAATAGAAAGTCACAAACTATGATTTTGCTTTGGCTCAAGGTACAAGCAAGTTAACAAAGTAAAAATGTATACAGAGAGACTTCTAATATATACAGAACACACAATAGACATTTAACAGTGCAGGTTAAAGGGACAGTATAGGATAAGGTCGTAAAGGGTCTTAATGAGTCCGACTAAAGAAATAAAACTTATCTTATGAACTATAATCCAGAACCATCGATGTTATAGCAAACAAAGGCTTGGTATACGTCACTGTGCAGGTATATAGTCTATATCGATCAATCAACAATCAACACAGTTCATACAAAACGCGCTGTGCTTCACTTACAGATGAATTACAGAAATAAATGAACAGTATTCAAGTTTTCATATAAGATCCCCTGAACTTATTGTACTTAAGCTGAATACATCTGCATTAAAGATGTAGATGTACCTTGTTGCGTGTTATATTCCAGAGCCATGCTGGCCCACTTTGTGCTAATTGCAGTGATGACCATAATCATATAATCCAAACAGGATTATTGATTTTAGTGGCACATCCTTTTGTTTACAGGGGTCTGGTAAATGTTTAAGCCGGGGCCCGTGCCGAAATAATTGCGGAGTGTGCGTGGCTGAGCGTGTGGAGGTAGTGGGAGGGGTCCTGCCTGCCAGCTGTCCCACTCCAACCCCCTGCACCCCCTCCTCCAACAGGCAGCACTGAGAGATGCATTGTTCTGCCCCAAAAAGACAGACATGAGGGGGCTGCCATCTGCCGCGCCGCCCTCCACTGCTCCAGCAACACGCAGCATTCACAAAGACCAGCACGAGACATCAGCTGGACCCCGACGAGGGAGGGGAGGGAGCGGAGTGGGGGTCAGGGACGGGTGCTGGGCTCTGGACGAGGTGCTTCTGGGGACAATTCAGATAAACATGCATTATTTATTATTTTGCTGTTGGATGATAAACATATATATTGGGATATATTTAGGGCTAAATTTCATTTAAACTCATCTACTATTGAAAAAGTTTTCGACTAATTTTGTAATAGTTTGTTTAACATTGTAAAAGCACTTTGGGTGACCTTGTAAAGTGTGCTCTATTAATGAACATTACTTACTTACTCAACCCTTATACTGAATTTGCATCTAAAAAAAGTACCTGTACCTTGTTGATGTTTATACAATAGACTCAGACCATAGACAGAGAAAATAGGGGTTGAATTTTTGTCTTCTTTTTTCCCCTGTTATTTATAACTGCCATTGACCTTACTGGAAGACTGTATGTGGGAACCTTGTTGTCTGAATGTATGGAGAAATAGCTTATGTTATGTTTTTTACGTGTCCCTGTGCTGTGAACCAAATTGCACCATCGGGGACATGAAATAAAGTGAACTGAAGTGAAGTAGAAGAGTTAACTCCAGAGTAGACCCGTGCTGGCCCACTTTGTGCTAATATTAAATATGCATAATTTATTTGTGAGATTTCATAACACTTTTAAGCAACTTTTGTTAAAGTTAAACTCATCAATCTATCAATGTGCAGAAGCCAGTACTTTTCCCTTGTTTTGTCTATCTGAAGGCCAAGCTACAAGCACACCGTGGCAGCTGCTGATTGGAGGTCTCCATGCCTCCGCTCTGTATAATACACTTGCATTCTCTTGTATCTGTGATTGTGTGCTTTGTTCGTGCTGTCTCTACCATTGACAATAATGTCTTCTGTCTGAATGTAAGACGCGATCCCAGACTATGTCATCTTCTTCAGGTGGTGGAAGGATGCGGGCCTTGTCTGTAACATCTACAGAACAGAAGACTTTTTTTTTACACAAAAAGTGTTTTTTTTTTAAGCCAAAACTGAAAAACCTCAAGAGAAACAATGCATCTGGACCAGCACATGGACTATCTGCACAGCCCCTGATTCCACTCAGGCCTGCTGTGAGCTGCTGAGACATGGACAACACCAGCGTCCTCTTTTGCAAGGACATAATTTGGAACAATCTGGATTTCTGAATTTGGACATAATTTGGACTGAATTGAATTGCTGAATCTGGACACTGAAGCTGAAACGTGTGATTGAAAGACACGTCACAGACGAATTCATGGCTCGACACAAATGCAGCCTGAAGAAGCCAACACGGAGAAATGGGAGAGACTGTTTTCAAAGCAATATCTGGAACCACATCGACTGATGAAGTTTGGTATTTTACTGAAGATTGTTGACAAGTTTTATGAAAGATCTGAACATGTTTTATGAGTTTTTGAAGTATTCCGAGTTATGAGTTTTTTGAAGTACCGAGTGAAGTACCGAGTTTATGAGTTTTTGAAGTATTGAGTTATGATGTTATGTTGCTGTTTATCGATCCTGATGGTCACACGTGAATGTATGACCAGAGGGGGGAATGTGAGATTTCATAACACTTTTAAGCAACTTTTGTTAAAGTTAAACTCATCAATCTATCAATGTGCAGAAGCCAGTACTTTTCCCTTGTTTTGTCTATCTGAAGGCCAAGCTACAAGCACACCGTGGCAGCTGCTGATTGGAGGTCTCCATGCCTCCGCTCTGTATAATACACTTGCATTCTCTTGTATCTGTGATTGTGTGCTTTGTTCGTGCTGTCTCTACCATCGACAATAAAACATGTCTTCTGTCGGAATGTAAGACACGATCCCAGACATGTCACCTTCTTCATATTCTTTTGCGGTTCCATGATAAACATATATATTGGAATATGTTTAGGGCTGCAGCAAGTTGATTGATTAATTAAAACTAACCAACTATTAAAATAGTTTTTGACTACTTTGGTAACAGCTAATTTAATGAAGTGTGTTTACAAAGTATTTCTAATCAAAAAACACAAGTCCTCTGTGTGAATATGTTCTCCAGGGGCAACACACTTTCGTCAAGCTTATGAGCCAAGTTTTATTTATCCCCAAAGGGAAATTTGTCCTCTGCAGTTGACCACTCCACACAGATAGGTTCTGTTCCGACTTGAACCCATAGTTCTCAACCTTAAAATATTAACAAAAACCATATTCAACTAATCGATTATGAGAATAGATTTAATACAGCCCTAAAGATGTTGTCATTTAAGAACTTTGTGTCAAATATCCATATGTCATTGTACCAATACTTCAGTCAAAAGGTCCAAGCTAATAGTAAACAAAGCAAATAAATCTCACTATCTAATGATCCAATCCCTACAATTTTATTGTGGGAAATTCAAGGCCTTAAGCACATTATATCTGTAATCTGCAGAGGTGTGGACTCGAGTCATGATTTTGATGACTTTAGACTCAACTTGACTAAATATAAAAAGACTTGCGACTCGACTTGGACTTTAACATCAATGACTCTGACTTTCACTTGGACTTGCACCAATTGACTTGTAAAGACTTGCGTAACCCGGGCCATTTTTACCTTTCTCCGCATCTCTCTTTCTATCTATGCCTATCTAAGCGGCACAACTCGGCAGAACACCGTCTCTGAAGAAACAAAGCCTCGCGGTAGTTGTAGCGCTCGCGCGAGAGTTCGAACGTGAGTTCCCCGCAGTTTGCGCAGCAACACTTCCCTAAACAAGCACACTGCATTCACCAGTGGGTGTGTTGTCGTTGGGGAGCTGGAAATGAGCGAGCAGCAGGTATTTATCGCGACCTAACGTCATATTTTGTTCTACAAACCGTAATTGATATGCTTTCACTACAGGCGCCTCATAGAATTGAATCGACGCAGTTGTCACACTGTGTGCCGTGTTTTAAAGAGGAACTGGTGAGTCAAACTAACACTAGCCTGCGCTGCTCTGTTGGCTCTTTCTTATATTTTTCTGTGTGGGCGCAGAGACCTATTATTATGAGTATGTTTTTGCTGTGCTCCTCCTGCTAAAGTTTGCATACATTAGATAGTTGTTTTGATTATGTGCACTAAGCTAGATTAATATTTGCACTATTGTTTATGGTGCATTGATATGAGAATCAGTGCTTTGACTGATTGAATTAATTTATATGAGACATTTTAATATGTAATGATATATTGGTAATTATGAGATATTACTAATGCTGGTCCAGTTCATACAGGCCAGGTTCCTTCCCCCTCCATTGGTCCCTTCAGTCCTTTGCCCCCCCCCCTTTTTTTTTTTTTTGATGGCGAGCTGCCCCAGGTCCAAAGCCTGGACCCCTCATACTACCCCTATCCTACAGTAGGACATTTGGAACAATAACCACTACGGACATTAAACTGATTATATAGATACAGGTCCCAGCCCAATACTGAGATTAATTGATTATAATATAAGCATACTATTCATATATGCTGCACTTGCTACTTCCCATTAAAAACCCCAAAGATAAAAAGTATGTTGACATGGACTGCTCTGATTTTATGTGTGGTCTGTGCATGTGTAACTGAGCCTGCATCTGGCACAACATCCAATTAGATCACGTAGATAGTTTTGATTTACCAGCAGCCAACGACATGGAACAAACTGTTAGTCCATGGGTCAGAGACCAACGAGAATGCGCCAGCAAAATGATTCCTAACATTATTTTGTTTGCCTACAAAAGTACGTGGAGACCAACAAGAAACAAATCGCGGTCAAAAAGACTCGAGAGGACTCGAAAGTCAAACCGTAGGACTTGGGACTGACTTGAGATTTGTTGGCCTTTGACTTGGACTCGACTCGGGACTTGCCTGTCTTGACTCGTGACTTGACTCGGGACTTGAGGGCAATGAATTGAGACTGACTTGTGACTTGCTAAACAATGACTTTGTCCCACCTCTGGTAATCTGTATTGGGTGTGATGATGCTGAAGGTAACATCCTGGACAATAAACACAAACCATTAATTAAAAAGTGTGCACAGTAAGTAACATTTATGGACAGTGGTCCTTCTGCTTCCTGTGGAGTTTGTTATTATTGCATTTCATGTGTTCGAACTGTTTGATTCTCTGACCTGACAACTTTGTAAAGTCCTCCAAGACGATGACAACTTTTATATCATTATTATACAATGTAGCGAAAATGCACTACAAAAATAATAAAATATGAGGCAATTGCTTGAATCAAGAGGTTTTTTAAAATCTTTTTTTGAGTACATTCTGACTGTATTAAAACTAGATTTGCCAACGGGACAAAGCCATTTATTCTTATTTCAAGAGCTGTTGCTGGATTTTCACATTTCAAGGGAGACATTTCTTGTATATTTTTAAAGCAAGATAATTTTGGTTGTCCCTTTGGCTAATCACAATGTGCTCAAAATAGGAGATATATAGCAAAATTTGAGACATAGTGACAGATTTGTCCTTTTTCATATTTTTCAGTGTGTAACATTTCTCCACTGTGAGATCAATAAAGTTTTATCTAATCCTATGCATAAATACATTGAATTAAATTGGGGGGGAAAACATCTTATTGTTTTTACCTCTTACAAGCTATTTTTTCTTTATGTTTTTGACATAATTTTGATGAGTTTAGGTGTGTCAAAGCCTCCCTCTTTAACCTGTATGTGCGTGTATGTAGAGGTGGGTGGGGGATGGTCTGTAGTTTTTCCATAATGGCTTTATTCTTGGATCTGTTTGAGGAGAGCAAACACAGCTCCTCCTCAGACAAACGGCAGGTGATGCACAGGTACAGAACAGATGCTCATTTGCATTTCAGTTACAGCTGTTGCGGCCGTTAAACCACTCCACACAAAACAGATTAGGATCATTATTGACATTTCAGTTACAGGTCATTACCGGCTTTAAAGGTACTTTGAGGTTTTTCTTTGCTGATGCAGGAGGGTCTGAGAACAGTGATGATGATCCAGGACACCCAACGTT